GGAAAGAGTCTTTTTCTGGCATTTAATTTTGTAACTTGTTGGCAGTTATTAAAGCAAGCCTTTCTGCTCTTCATCAATCGAGTGTTACGTCAATCCATAAAGCACTAGGTTAAAAATTTGGTTTCTAAGTGCAACGCTAGAGGATTCAGGCAGTGGTAATCTTTCTTTTTAGCTGATGAGCCACTACCCAAGAGTGATATTAAATGTGCCACCAATTCAGAGGTTCTGTCTAACTGTTCATGACAATTTTTGTAAAGACAGGGAGAACTCCATGCTGTGTTATCAAATTTCCTCTCCACTGTCAAATGGAAAAGGTATTTTCCATTTCTCATCTTACCATTGCTATGAGCTAGTACATAGTTACCTCATTTCTTCCTCAAATAACTGCATTTCAATCATGGATCCTTTGCTTTTTCATGTCCTTGTCACAAGGTATTAGATGAAATTATCTTTGTCTGCTGTTCAGGTTTTCTAGCATTATTACAGATGCTGCAAACACCTTAAACACTCATTTCCAAATCTTATAGAATCAATTTAAATAATGGGCCAGATTTGTAGGAAGTAGAAATCTGAAAAGCATCCTTCTCTTCAATGGACTTTTGTCAATTTACACTAGATAACCTGGTTCTATATGTTTAGAGAAAAGATAATTGAGAAAGGTCATGATAAAGGTAGAGGAAAAAAATGCATGATGCACAGAAAAACTGTAACCGAGCATCACTGGTATGAGACTGCCGGAACAGCAATGAAACTAAGGAAGCTAAAAATGATAAGAGAAAAATGGTGAGTGAACTCCCTTTGGAACTCATTGCCATGAGATTTCACTGAGGCCAAAAGCTTTGGAGGATGTCAAAAAGGTTATGCATTTCAATGAATAATGAGGAAGCCAATGGTTCTATTAGATGGGGAAGTAAATCCTTATGTAATATCCTCAGTAACTGAGTGGTCTAGAAACAAGATTATGAGCAAGATATTCTATAAATTGTCTAAACCAGGAATTCTTTCACCTTCTTCTGAGGAATATGACTCTGATTTACTGTTTGTGACAAGAGAATGAACTATATAGATTGCCTGTCTGATCCAATATGGAATACTCTGTCCTTAAAGAAATAAGGATATAATTTATTATTGCTTATTATTTGCTTTGCAACAGCACCTGTGGGTCCCAATCTGGGATAAGGGATTTGTTGTGTAGAGCATATCTCTAAAATGAAGTTATGCTCTCTGCTTTTGCCTCTCAAACATAGAAAGGACGGTGCCAGAGGTGCACTGGCACCAGGTGCCCTCACACTGCCCCGGGAGTCATGGGGGGCAACAAAAAGCATCTGGCACCAGCAGCCAAGTGATTCCAGTTGTGATCACAGCGGCAACTGGAAGTCACTGCTGCCCCATGCACTGGGTGAGCAACTGTGTCCTACGCTGTTGCTGTCAGATAAATTAGTCTGGACCATTGCTGGGAGACAGATTCCTTGGTCCTAGCCCTCTCTGTTACATGGAGCAATGACTGAGAGTATATGACTGGTATAGCTAGGTATATCCTATAATACTTGGACCTAACTGCAACTATAAAAAGACAGAACAAAGTAGCAACAATCATGGGGTATAAAATCCTGCATTTGCATTATTTAGGAATGCAGGAATTGCAGTTTCAAAAGCCATTCATAGCTTTTCTAGGGTACTGGAGAATTCACTGAGGTAATTTCAGAGCCATTGGCTACACACTTTGAGAACTCATGGAAGTCAGATGATGTCTTGATGACTGGAAAAGGCCAAGTGTAGTGACAATTTTTAAGAGGGGAGAAGAGGATATGGAGAACTACAGACCAGTCAGCCTGACCCCAATACCTGGAAGGATCATGGAGCTGCTCCTCAAGGAATCCATTGTTAAGCACTAGAGGAGAACAAGGTAATCAGGAACATCCTGCATAGATTCACCAAAAGGAAGTCATGCCTGACCAACCTGATTTTCTTCTATGATAAGGTGACATGCTCTGTGGATGAGGGGAGAGCAGTGGCTGTGATATACCTTGACTTTAGCAAGGTTTTTGACCCGGTCTCCCATAATGTTGTGTCATAACAAGGTAAGGAAATACAGACTAGATGAAAGTACTGTATGGTGGAAACATAACTGGCTGGATGATTGTGCTTAATGAGTAGGCTTTAATGGCTTATTGGTTATTTGGGAGGAGGTATTAAATGGAGTTCCCCAGGGGTCTGTCCTGGGCTGGGTATTGTTTAACATCTTCTTTAATGATTCAGATCATGGAGTTGGGTGCATGCTGAGCAAATCTGCAGACAATGCCAAGTTGGGTGGAGTTGTAGATACTCCAGAGGGCAGGGTTTGGGTTCAGAATAAGCTGGTTAGACTGGGGAAATGGTCCACAATCAATCAGATGAGCTTCAACAAGGACAAGTGAAAGGTCCTGCACTCGGGACAAAATAACTGCATGCACAAATACAGACTGGGGAGTGACTGCCTCACTACTGCAGAAAAGGAGCTAGGAGTTACAGTAGATCATAAGCTGAATGTGAGCCAACAGTGAGCAGTTCTTGCCAAGACAGGCAACAGCATACTGGGTTGTCATAAAAGGAGTGTCTTCTGAAAATCAAGGAAAGTGATTCTTCCACTCTATTCAGAACTGGTGAGGCCTTACTTGGAGTACTGTGTCCAGTTTTGGGCCTTACACTTCAAGAAGGATATGGACAGTTTGGACATAGTACAACACAGAGCAATAAATATGACTAGGGGCTTGGGAAGCAAGACTTATGAGGAAAGGTGGAAAGAGCTAAGGTTATTTAGTCTGGAGAAGAGAAGACTGATGGGGAATTAGATCATGGTTGTGAAATACCTGAAAGGCAACTACAGAGAGGATGGATTTGTGCTTTTCTCCATGACTGTAGGGGACAGGACTAGGAACAGTGATGTCAAACTTCAGCAGGGTAAATTTGGGTTGGAGATTAGAAAGAACTTCTGACTATGAGGGTGGTCAAGCATTGGAACAGGCTGCCTATAGAAACTGGAATCTCCATCCTTGGAAACTTTCAAGGGCTGGTGAGACAGATACCTGGCTAAGATGGTTTACTCAGGAAAGCTCCTGTCTTGAACAGGGGGTTGTACTAGATGACCTTGTGAGGTCCCTTCTACCCTGCTTTCCTCTGATCCTGCTTCTGTCACTGGCTGCATTTAGGTGTTAAACCCCCAGCATCTTCTGGCTACTGATAAGGTATTATGGCAGCAGAAGGACATGCTTTGAGAATGGTTTTAAACCAAATTAAACTTATTTTAACATATAATAGGAAATTTATACTGCAGTTTTAATGAGGAATAACCATTTATTTTAGAATTAACTTGATGAATTTTGTGTATAAAAAGCAGAGAAGTGAGATGCAGGCGACATCTTGTGGTCATTTGGAAAAATTCCAGGGAGAAATACTGGCAGA